TCTATTTAAAAACAATAACTCCGAGGATATGACTAACGATCCTTTCAATTCCAAGGACACCAATTACGTTCAACTTAAATTTATATACGTATATATATACGTCCATGTGAGAACTTGACGTGGACCAAAAGTTTCTATATGAGAGAAAGAAAATTCTTAAGTGATATTTGAGGTAATAAAAATAAAAATTTGAAAAAAATTTTCTTCTTCTTCTTCTTCTTTTTTTTTCTTTTTTTTTTTTTTTTTCTTTTTTTTCTTCACGACGCTTCTTCAGACCCACGGATATTAGGCACGGTAGTTTAACGAGTTTAGGTTTGCTAGTTTTACGATTTGAAAATGAAAAGAAGTAGAAGAAAAAACAAACAAAGAAGAAAATTAAACAAAAGACACGAAAAAGAAGTGAACTGATATACCTGGTAACTTTCGACCCCGACCTAGGTACTTTTGACCTATTTAAGAAATTTTGGCCCAGCTTTAAGTATATACGTACATACGTACTTAAGTATGTGCCAGGTATAATTTGCTCAAATCGATTAACTCAGTGAAAAGAAAAAGTAAAATATCTTGCTAAAGTTTAATAAAAGAAACGTTAATTATACTCATACATTGTAAATTATTTATCATCGAAAATAGAGGATAAACATTTTTTATCGTTTGTCAATTGCATAAATTAATTGTTATTAATTTATATATATATATATATGTGTGTGTGTGTATAAATAAAAAAATGTATTTATTTTTGTTTAAAAAAATTTTTAAATATAAAAAGTTGAACATATCAATTATGTTCCTTGACATTAAAACTTTCTTTTTTGTTCATTGTCTCTTTAATTTCTAAAAGTGAAGTTGATCATTTTGACTTATCAAAACGTCTCATATATATATACATGTATATATTATATATATATATATATATATATATATATATATATATATATACATTCGTACATACATTATACACGCATATATACGTATAAATTTCTTATGAAAGTAAATTTTGAGAATGAAAATATTCTCATCCATTATTCAACCAATCTGTTATAAAATAACGAACATTTAATTCAACTTCCTTTTAAAAATAATTAATTATTATATTATTAAACATTATATCCGAACTTATGCTGAATCGACAATAATACGACATCGAGTCGATTGTTAAATTATTAATGATACGATGATACGAAAAATTAATATCTCTTATCCTTCCCTTTATAACGTCAAAACGAGACTAAACTTCCCCCCCTCTCCCAAAAAAAAAGAAAAAAGAACGATTAATTCGTAAGAGAAAATTTTCTTTCTATTTTTTCCAAAGAAGTGTTCTTACAAATTTTTCTCTTCGCGCGTATTAGTAGAAACAAAAAAAAAAAAGAAAAAAAAAAAAGAAAAAAGAAAAAATTGTTAATTAAAAAGAGACACACCAATACGTACTTACGTATATCGTGTTAAAGGGAAATATGATTAATTCAATGAATAATGTTGAGAAGCTTTGTTAAAAATTAATATCGAATTTAATAATAATAACAATCTTATTTACCTGGCATTATCGATACAGTCTTAAATGCTCTCAAGACCCTGAATGTCCTAAGGCCAGCCAGATTACCAACGTCCATACCGATAGTAGCATAACCGCTAGTTATCACCACAAAGTCCAACCAATTCCAAGGATTTCTTAGATAGGTATATTTGTTCAATATAAATCCCTTGGCTATTGATTTTATCACCATTTCCGCCGTGTATATGGCTAGGAAGATATATCTGTAAATATATTAAACAAAAGTTATTACCTTGCTTACGTTTATATTCGTATATATATATATATATATATGTATGTGTGTGTGTGTGTGTGTACAATATATGTATATATGTATGTGTTCCTTCTACATAAAAGAATATTTTTTTCTTTTTTTTTTCTTTTTTTTTTTTTTTAATCGACCCAATCACAAACATATAACTGAACGAATGATTGACTATATTACGATTAGAATAATGTGATTATAAAAATTACAATGATTGTAATAATATTAATCAACGATAGGTTTGATAAATAGAAAAAAAAAATTGATTTATTAAAAATGACATTTAAAAAATTTTCTAACGAATTATATTAATATATGATCAATCAGATAATTCTATAATAAATATATTGTATAATAAAACTCAATATAATACGCGCGAGCGTAAAAAAAAAAAAAGAAAATTGATTACGTTAAATCGAAATAATAATTTTATCGATGGATTTCGAAAGATAATTTATACCTTACCATAAAATCAATATGATTAATTATAAATCAATTATCATTAATTCGGATAAATAATTATTTATGAGATTTATAAAATTTTAAATATTAAATATTTCTCTCGATTTGTTATTTATTTAAATCGATATTTTAATTAATTAACGATAAGTATTTTGTTAACGAAAATGATCATCGTATATGAACGATTATCAGATCAGTATTCGTAATGTAAAATAATACTAAGTAAAATAAATGAATAAATATCAAGGATTACGTCTCCGAGTTACGTTTTTTAAGTTTTACAAATTATTATTATTTATAAATTTTTTTTTAATTAAAATACAGACTTTTTTTTCTTTTTCCTCTTCTTCTTCTTCTTCTTTCCTTTTTTTTTTTCGCATTAATCGATGTAACATAATCCGATCGTTTATATTACTTAGCGATATTTAATTATAATTTTTTTTTTATTATAAATCTAAATTTATTATAAAAGAAAAAAATTATCGATATTATATGACAATTAATGATTTATTCGAAGTATTAAGAAATTATTATATAATATTTGCAAATAATATGTTCATTTTATTAAACGATTGCTTTTTTTTTTATTATTATTATTATTATTTTTTTTTTTTTGTTTTTCCTTTTTTCCATTCTTTTTTATTAATCGATACGATTTAACGACAAGTCACATTGATTTACTACAATAAAAATCTTTTCTCTAAGATACAGATTCATTATGAATACTTTATTATAATTCTAATTTGAATAAAATGAATGCTAAAAATTCGTATTATATGATACCAATCGTTTATTTTATAATACTTATTGTAAATGTTTCAAAAATATTGAATCCAATAACTAGTAGTCTCTCTCTCTCTCTCTCTTTCTTTTTCTCTCTCTCTTTTACATCTCGATAAGACTGCATGGCTAATAAGGAATATAAAAGTTTTGTCATTATAAAGAAAGTTTAAAAGTTGAGAAAATGAAGATCCTGAAATCGTTCTTCCATCGATGGTATTAGAAATTTCATTCTTGCAATACGAGTAAAATACGAGTAAGAGAAAAAGTGAGATATATATATATATATATAGAGAGAGAGAGAGAGAGAGAAAGAAAGAGAGAGAGAGAGAGAAAGAGAGAGAGAGATAGAGAACACGTTTTACGTTTTTACGTTCTTTTAACGTAGAGACAGACGATTTTGATCGATAAGACAGCTTCACAAAAGTATAATCGCCGTACAAAAGGAAAGAAACTTCGCGGTTAGACGTGCGTTATAACGAAAAAAAAAAAAAAAAAGAAAAAAAAAAAAAAGAAAAGAAAAAAGGAAAAGAAGAGAGAAAGAGAGAAAGAAAAGAAGAAAAAGTGAAGGAAAAAAGCGGGGTAAAAAATTCAGGAAAAAGAAATTTCACCTCCAAGAGATTTTAAATTAACGTAAAACTCTCTCTCTCTCTCTCTCTCTCTCTCTCTCTCTCTCTCTCTCTCTCTCTCTCTCTCTGTATCAAGCGATTCGACTTGATCGCACTTAAAAATATTCATCATAGCAATTTGTACGTTGAACAAAAGAAAACGTCATAACGCTATTAAAAATAACAAGAATAAAAGAAGATAGAAGAAGGATGAAGAAAGAAAAAAAAGAGAGAGAGAGAGAGAGAGAGAAATCATATATTCATATGAGATCAATAAAAAGAGAGAGAGAGAGAGAGAGAGAGAGAAAAGGATAGATTTAAACTACATATCTATATAAAATTTCACTTAGATATTTTTTATATATAGATTAGAAAAAAAATTTTCTAATCACACACACAAACACATACACACATACACACACATATTAATCTGAACAATAAAAATATTTTAATATTATTTTCTATTGTTAATAAATTTTCTAACGTATAAACTTATGGATATATAAATATTATTCAAATTTTAAATGATATTAATCACATCTAATAATTGATAATTTATATATATATATATTCGGAAAATGTATGAGGTCTCTATGTATGTATGTATGTATGTATGTATGTATGTATGTATGTATGTATGTATGTATGTATGTATGTATGTATGTATAAATTTATGGATATATGATATCTATTTATACATATATATATATATATATATATATATATATATATATATATATATATATATACTTACTCGGCTTCTTCGACGGTTTCGGTCATGGCCAGGAAGACGCAATTAAGTAGTATGGTGGCCATAACCATGTAATCGAAGTACTGATTAGTACTCAGGAAGATGCAACACCGTCTTATAGGATTCCACGGGGAAAATATAAACCAACTATTCGTCGCGGTGAACCTATGGATGTAATTCTTTCGAAATCTCTTCGACACCACGCAGAAGGTCTGTAAAAAAAAAAAAAAAGAGAAAGAAGACAATTTTTCTTTTTTTCTTTTTTCTTTTTTCTTTTTTTCAAATATTACAAGTATATAAATATTTGCTGATATATTTATTATTATTTAGTAATGTTATGTTTATTAATATAATTAAATCTAAAATATATAATTAATTTTAATTTTATATAAGTTGATTTTAATTTTCTTTTCTTTCTCTCTCTCTCTCTCTCTCTCTGTATGTATCGTTCTATTTTATAATATAAATGTATTATAGGCTAATTTTACTAGGCATTTTATAGTTATATCTTGTAAAATAAATTCCAAAAAAAAAAAAAGAAAGAAAAAAAAAATTATTCAAATTCAAACGATATTTGTTTTATTAAAAATGATAAATCCAACG